CAATCCACATTGTCCAATTCTTGAGCATTCACTGTTATTTTTCAGAACTCAGCCTGACAAGGTCCAAACATTGTGCAATGATGAGTGACCTTGCCATTGTAAGAGAGAAGGAAGGAAAGACTCAACAAAAAGGAGAACAGCAGAAGAGGAAGCCTGAAATGATGTGGGATGAATTAGTTTATTTCTCATTCTTCTCATGATTGGACAATTTGCACTAAGAAAAGCTGAGATGAAACATAGCGGCTGCGTCTAGACTGGCATAATTTTGTGCGAATGCTTTTGATGGAAAAGTTTTTCCATTAAAAGTATTTGCGCAAGAGAGCATCTATATTGGCACGTGCCTTTGTGCAAAAGATTTGCTTTTGCGCAAAAGCATCCATGCCAGTGTAGACGCTCTCTTGCGCAAGAAAGCTCCGATGGCCATTTTAGCCATCGGGATTTCTTGCACAAGAAATTAACTTGGCTGTCTACACTGGCCCTCTTGCGCAAGTATTCTTGTGCAAGAGGGCTTATCCCTGAGTGGGAGCGTCGGAGTATTTGCACAAGAACCACTGATTTTGTACAGTACAAAGTTAGCGTTCTTGAACAAATACTCACGGCCAATGTAGACAAGCCGCAAGTTTTTGCACAAAAGCGGCTGCTTTTGTGCAAAATCTTGCCACTCTAGATGCACCCAGCAAGTCTCTATGGGACACAGGAAGTGGAGAAAGTGGGGATGAAAAGTTAAGCTGTGGAAAACAGAAATTGGGGTCTCACCCTTTTTTTCCTTTTTTAAAGGAAATGTCCGAATCTCGCATTTCCACTCACCACGTGACATCACAGGATGCAAGTAAATTAAGAACTTGAGACTGAAATTAAAGTCATTTCTCATATAGACATAAATGGCAGGTTTATGTTAAAATACGCAGGACTGAAGAAAATCCCATTTTTACACGTAGTAGAAAAATATATTGGTAAATCTCACTAGGAAAGATTTCATTCTGGCAAATTCACTCGTACGTGTGGATTTCTGGGTGGGTGCTCAAGCTGGTACTGTATTGTAATGTTAACAAGAACCCCTAGCTATTGAACACGGCCCTTGTTGCTATTGACACCACTCTGAAAAAGGGTTAAAATAGTTTCGTTACACAGATTATTTCATATTGTTCTATAGCTTGCATGACTATCTACTTGAAATAATGGCTATCAGGATGGTTCTGGGTGCCTAGATAGTGTTTTCCCTCCAATGATCTTCAAACACTTTCCAAACATTGGTGAATTAAATTGCACAGTACACTCTGTGTGGGCTCTTATATTGCATCATCTCCATAGTGGACAACACCTAAGTATTGCCCCGTACTAGTGAAACCTCCAGTACTGACTCCATTTTAGTAAATATGCTGTGTTCATTATATATTTCCTCTCTCTTCCGTACTGCATGTCCACACAACAGCGTGGTAGAATTAATTCCCTTCCCTGCCCCTAAGAAAACAAGAATTCTCCCTTATTTTTTCCCTAGAAGAATGTGGTGCCCCAAAAGAACAGGAAGTTGCAGAGCCACGAGTCTCTCTTGTCACTTTATGCCAGATAGTAGAGTTCTCCAGCCATGATGATGAGTAGATTACTGTAGAGGTCTGAATTAGGGATGTTAGCTATAGGTTAATTGAATAGTCAACTAACTGCATACATCCTTATAGTCCCGGGGGCAGGATTGGCAGCCAGTGCAATCCAGCCCCACTCCCAGAGAGCCCCATGCCACCCCACATTCTGCCTTTCTATCAGAGGCAGGCACCGGCTCCCTTCACAGACTGGCTTTCTGTCACCCCCTGCAGGATATCAGCAGTTACTGTTCTCAGGGAGTCTGAGTTCCCCATGGACAGAGGCTTCGGGGTTGAGGGGAGAGGGAACGAGGGAGGCTGCCCCAAAGCAGCCTCTGCCCATAGCAGCCTAGGCTGGCTGTGGAGAAAGACTGCTCCAGGGCTGCATGGCTCTACATCTTCTCCCACTATAGGCTGCATGCCACTTGCACAGAGTGTTTCCAAATGGAGGCAGAGATCTCTATCGGAAAAACCAACTGCATGATTAGGCCTTTACTTAATTGTTTTTCAATGAAAACTGGGATGGAGATTATTTACTTGGGGAATGGCCCACTGAGGAAACCCTACCAAAAGGGCTCTTGGGGTCAAAAGGCTAATTTAAACAAAAATCGTCAATATTTACCATATTAAATATTTGACAAAATTAAGTTTATTCAGCCTTGCAAAAAAAGGAGCATTTAACTTCTATATGTTAACCTCTGACCCTTTAACTAATGTAGAATAAGGATGTGTAAAAAAAAAATGGTCACAAGAAGAAATGATCTAAAATTTTACCCCGGACTCACACTGTACCCTGACCTATAATGCAGATTCAAAATTTGTTTGAATCAGGTTTCCATTATTTGTGGGCCTCTGTCTCTTCTTCAAGCTGGGCCGTATGCAGAAGAGCTGAAATAATACAAATAAGCTGTTTCTAGGTAATATTTCCAACTCAAGTTTGAATGAGGTTCAATACACATCTGGACTTTTTCATGCTGGCACAAACCGAACCACCTATTACAATTCTCTGAGATTCACACACCACTACTTCAGAACATCATACCAAATTGGCAATGCAAGTGCATTGTTCAGCTTGTCACTATTACAATCCTCTGAGATTCACCCACCACTACTTCAGAACATTATACCAAATTGGCAATGCAAGTGCATTGTTCAGCTTGTCCAAATTACCAGGTTTCAACTTCACTACTGAAAAATATGGTTCTCAAATTACTCAATACATGGCTCTGAATAACTTTGTAAAATTACCTAATGCCTAGCTCACTCAAACCTGGAAGCTGATTTTGTAACAAATAAAAGGACTGATTACACAGAGTGCTCAATTCCACTGACCAGCACCTCCCACAATGCACACAAGTACCCACACAGTGTTCATCATGACAGACTTCTATATGTAATAGGAAAGACTGATCTCTGCATATAGAATTGGCACATCAGGGCGTACAGAGAAATATCAGTGCAATTATACAGACAATCCAAAACCCCCAAACTATTAATTTGCTGCTATGGTCCAATCTGGAAACACATACATGACTCATTTGATTCAAGTGACTAGTCCCAGTACAAGCAATGCAAATACTCACTGGAGTAAAACACATCATGCGAGTAAAGGTTTGCAGGATCGGGTCTAAAATCTCTAAATAACCATAGTCAAAGTAGAACAAAGATATTTGCTACCTTTGTATAGTTTTGGTTTGAATAAAATTCCATAAAAGCACATAATTTAACATTAAAGCTACGATAGAAAATTGAAAGAATTGATGTTTTTTCCATAGGCTATCAAAAAAGCAATTTAAAATTGAATAAAAAAAAGGAGGTATTATCTGAACTGTAGGTGTTGTGAAAACTGTGCAGTGAAAATTAAAATACTAGTTTGTGCTGCAGCCATAAATTACTAAACTAATTATCTAGTAGCAGGCATAACTGAATCATTCAAAGGGGTAATTAGCAATCAGACATAATGAGTACTGCTACTATTTCTTGTCATACTGTATTTAGCTTCCGTGCAGCCTAGAGGAACTGAATTATTTCCTATCCTTCTCGGAGGGCATTACTGCTATATTGAGTGCATCAGCCCATATTATTACTCCCAGTAGTTTAATTCTTCACCGGACTGCACACTTCTGATTTCTCCTGTCAAAGTTTCTCCAAATCTCCTGGGCCCTTTTAAGCAGACATCTTCCTAACCATCTTCTTTCAGTGTAAATGTAAACTGCAGCATAATCAAATTACGTAGTCCTTTTATTAGCTTTACTGTATTTCTGGCCATTAACATCTGCTGAGTGTATGTTATAGACAGTTTAGGTTTTCCATAACTCTTTTGATATTATACACACTATAAAACTTCTCGCCTCCTATACCTCACTACCAAGTATTCTAGTTTTTCAAGATTAAAAAATTATCTGCGATAAATATATGTATTTTAACCATGTTTTTGCACAACTAAAATGAAATGCTGAATTAGCCACAGTAGGGAGCCTTGCCACCTACGGCTAACAGTCTGAGGTCCCACTGCCCGGAACTTGGGCTAACTTTCCCAATTTAGTTAATGAGAACAGCTGAATAATGAGGACTTGGATAAACAGGGTTCTATTGTATATGGGGTTTTGTTGTTTCACAAAATGTAAAAAACGGAAAATTCTCTGTTAAAATGCAAATTCTGCAGTTTTCCATGGTAAATAGATTTATAAGATCTCTCCTCACCACAGACTTTAGATATACAGGGGTTCCACCAGTAACATTGAGCTCTTAGCAGAGCTGAAAGTAATCGGGTGCAGCCTTGTGCATAGCTCCAGCAAGAGTTGGTTGACAGGGGTGTAGCAAGCGGGGATGCAAAGGAGGGAAGTTGCTTCCGAGAGCCACGCTAGGGTGAGCGCAGGGAGAACGGCATGGGCAAGTCTGGGACCTCCCAGCCCCATGGCAGCAGCTGCGACACATGTCAGACCCGCCCGTGCTGTCCTCCCTGTGCTTGCCCTAGCGTGGCACCTGGGTGCAATTGCCTCTGCTACCCCCCTTACTACACCCCTGCTGGTTGAGCTGCAACAAAAGCCAGCAGGAAGCTGTTTAAAGAGTGGGCAGGGACATGGGTTTGCAATAGACACTACCTGTAAGAAATGTTAATTTACTTTTACCACTGGCTCTTAGGAATGTGCAAAACTGGAAAGGTTTGTTGCTGAGGTGCCACTCACATGAAAATGCAGGATCAGATTCTTCTGAAGAGCTCAGCATCCTGGAAATGGGTGCAGCACACTTTTAAAAATATGACTTCCAGCCTTTGAATTATTGGTTTCACAAGTTATCATTCTCGTGTTTTTTAGGAGAGATTTGTGATAAAAGCTAATTTATTCTCAGCCACCACTTTTCTTAAAGATTGCTGTAACTTCTGATTTCTGATGACCATCATATTCTTCATTCTCATTCTAGGAGTGTCATGAGCAAGACACGATAAGTCATTCTTCTGCTCTACTCTGCGCTGATAGGCCTCAACTGGAGTATTGTGTCCGGTGCTGGATACCACATTTCAAAAAAGATGTGGAAAAATTGGAGAAGGTCCAAAGAAGAGCAACAAAAATGATTAAAAATCTAGAAAACATGAGCTATGAGGAAAGACTGAAAAAATTGGGCTTGTTTACTTTGGAAAGAAGACTGCGAGGGAACATGATAGCTGTTTTCAAATATCTAAAAGGGTGTTACAAGGGGAAGGAAGAAAATCTAATACTTATTTTTAACCCAGTTATACTTCTGGCCTTCACAACATTCCCTAACAACAAATTCCACATGTTGACTTTGCAATGGGTGAAGAAGTGCTTCCTTTTGTTTGTTTTAGACCTCCTCCCTATAAACTTCATCAGGTGAAATTCTTGTGTTGTGAGGAGTAAATAACACTGCCTTATTTACTTGCTCTACATCATTAATGAGTTTTTAGACTCCTAGTTGTCTTCTTTTAGATGAATAGTAACAGACTTTTTAATCTCTCCTCATACAGACACTATTCCATATCCTTAATCATTGTTGTTGACCTTCTCTTTATCTTTTCCAGTTCTAACATATCTGTTTTTGAGATCGAGTGACTACAACTGTACATAATATTCCAGGTGTGGTTGTACCATGGATTAGATAGTGATGTCATGATAATTTTCTCTCTATTCCATCACTTCCCTAACTGTTGGTTTTTTTGACTGACAGTGCACATTAAACAGATGTTTTCAGAGAACTACCCACAATGACTCCAAGATCTCTTTTTTGAGTACTAACAGCTAATTCAGATCCCATCATTTTTGCACATCTATTTCAGATTATGATCTACAATAAACATTACTGTATGTATATAAACATTGAGTTTCACCTGCCATTTAGTTGCTCTGTTTTCTGAGATCCCTATGTCAGTCTTCATAGGCTTTGGCCATAATTATTTTGAGTAAAGTTCATCATCTGCAAATTTTGCCACCTCACTATTCACCTTTTTTTCAAAATTACTTACAAATATGTCGAACAGCACTGGTCCCAGGACAGATCTCTGGGAGTCCCTTCCATTTACCCTCTCTGCTGTGAAAACTGTTTATTTCTTCCCTTTGTTGCTTATCTTTTAGCCAGTTACTGATCCATGAAAGGATTTTCCCTGTCATGTGCATATAGCGTGTCTATACTACAAGGCTACATCTACACTGGCATGATTTTCCGAAAATGCTTTGAACGGAAAAGTTTTCTGTTAAAAGCATTTTCGGAAAAGCGCATCTAGATTGGCAGGATGCTTTTCTACAAAAGCACTTTTTGCAGAAAAGTGTCCGTGGCCAATCTAGACGCGGTATTCTGCAAAAACAGCCCCAATCGCCATTTTTGCGATCGGGGCTTTTTTGTGGAAAACAGTACTGTGCAGTCTACACTGGCCCTTTTGCGCAAAAGTCTTTCAGAAAAAGACTTTTGCCTGAATGGGAGCAGCATGGTATTTCTGGAAAAGCACTGATGATCTTACATGAGATCATCAGTGCTTTTCCGGAAATTCAAGCGGCCAGTGTAGACAGCTGGCAAGTTTTTCCAGAAAAGTGTCTAGCCCAAGAGTTCTTATTTTCTTTTTCTTCCTATTCCTTGCTCCCTCCTTTTTCCTGTGGCTATAATGCCAGTTACATTGTGCTTTAAGGTAGGTCCTTCTCTTAGAAGTTACTCTCTAGAGGCTCCTAAATCCACAGAATGCAACCAAGAGTATGAAGGCTTTAGATTATAAATTCTTTGGCACAGGGAATGTGTCATTCTGTCTTTAAATAGCACCTTGCACAATGGGGCTCTAATATTGACTTGAGTTTCAAGGACTAATGTAATTCATTAACAAATTATAAATAACTTCGGAGTTTCTGAAGAGATTACTACTGATTTTCCTAGTTGATCAACCATATGCTATGGATTTTACAAAGCAGTTAGATGTAATAGTTGGTTTAAATATCTTTGCATTAGTGACTGAACACTGTCTCATTTGAAATTCCAATAATTTTATTTAGTATCATTTGTACATGGTACCAATATGGAGGTTTCAGCAAATTAATGAGATGACATTTCAGTTGTCTATAAGAGGTTGCATTAGTAAATTATACCTTTGGCTGTATATTTAACCTTATGCAGCACCACTACCATAAGTGCCACCTTTAATTTGAATATTTTAATTCATTGTGATAAACACCATGCACTTTTTAGAGGGCAGTCAGAGTAGGATTTTTAAATCTAATACCTTGTGATGATTGCATTTTCACAGTCAAACCTGGCTCAACCATATGAAAAACATTAAGAAGGCAGAGTTAGAAATTGGCGGATTTCTAATTATGATATTCTTCTTATATTCATAATTCACATTGATTATATGTATATTAAAACCAGGTTGTTTCTTACCAACTGCAATTTCAACTTTAGGTAATTCTTCTATTGAAGAGAACATCCCTGGTGTTAAATAGTTACTATGCAGCATCTTCTTTTAAGGAATATGAAATGGCCTGCTTTCCTTTTCCTTCATCCCCAACCATTGAATTTCCTTGTGTTGTGATAAGGGGAATTAAAACCAGGTTGGTTCTTAGGAAACATACTCCAGGCTTGGGGGTAAAGTTTTTCTCCTCTAGTCTCCTGAATATCCCTCAAAAGATTCCAGTCCTGCAGCCATTTCTTTGGTAAGCAGTACCGCTGAAATCAATGAGGCTATTTACATAAAAATAACTCATGTAAATAAGTATTGCAAAAGTGGGCCTTGCATAAGTGGAAGAAGAAGGTTGCCTTTAATTTACCCCAGCCATATATTTCTCATTCTAAGCACTCAATGATTTCATATCTTTGTAATTTATATATCTTTTGATACTCAGGGGAAAGGGTAATTCTTGGGAATAAGTCTGGATGCTCTGGATGTGGTGAAAGCCATGGACTGCCCCAGTTTACTGTACAGTAATATATTGGGATTGTGTGTCCCTAGGATTCACTAATAAACAGCGGGACAAAAGTTTTGCTAGTCTAGCATGAAGTTGTTCAGCAAATATTTCCAGACATCATATTTATATGTAATGTGTTCTGGAGCTGGTACCTGTTACATGATTTCAACCAAGTTTTAGGGGGATGTAAGACGGGATCATATGCTAGGGTCAAGCAGAGGCCTTCCTGGACATAGGAGCAAGTTACTGTAGCTTCAGGGCTACTCTAAGAGTACGTCTACACTACAGCGCTATTTCAAATTAACTTAATATGGAATAGTTAATTTGAATTAAGCTAACTCGAATTAACGCATCAACACACAAAAATTATTTCGAATTAGCGTTTTGCTATTTCAAAATAGCACGTCCACACTGAAGCTAAGGCTGGCCGGAACCAGTGCTGGCAGGGCATCAGGTTAGGATTTAGGTTGTGGGGATGCTGCCTGAGGCTAACTGAGCTCCGTGCTTAAAGGGACCCTATCCCCATCCTGGACAGACAGTTCTCAGGGTTCCCCGCTTGCTTGTCTACCTCGATGAGGGACAGCAAAGTAATCTTGTCTTGGAGTGCCCTGAGTGCCCACAATTGGGACACCACAGTACTCGGCCATATGGAGCCAGAGCTGCCCCTGAGCACACCAGTGTATCTCATGGGGTCGTTGCTATCAGCCCGGCTGCACTTGCTGCAGGCTGCCATCCAGAGGGGTCCATCAGGAGGCTGTCAGGATCCAGGAGGCCCTGTGGGAAAGCATCCACCCCGAGGAGCTCTCAGAGCCACCCTGGTCCTCCCCACCAGGGGCTTGTGCCCCATTCCTCCCTCACGTCTTTCCACTTACCCCTTCCTAGCCCCCCTTCCTGATGTCAAATAAAAGACATCTATGTTCAAAAATAGAAACTGGGTTTATTGAACAAAGCTGGGGGTGGGGAAGGATGAATCTCTGGGGAGACTGGGAAAAGGAGGTGGGAGGGGGAAGAAAGAGGGTAGGAGAGGGGAGGGGGAAACCTGGAAGGAGGGAGCTGGAAGGGGGAAGCAAGGGGAAGAAGGGGGAGGGGTAGCTCAGGGCCCAGAGTTGGGGGGTCTCGCTGGACCAACTTGATTTTCATGCAAACCTGCTCCTGGGTTCGCATGTGGCCTTTGGTGACCAGGCTGGCAGCTATCCTGACATAGACGGCAGCATTCCTCCATCTAGCATGGAGATTATGGATGTTGGGATCATCCCCCCCAAACCTGAATAATGTCCATGATCTCCATCCTGGATCAGGACGGCGCCGGCTCCTGGGAGCTGGCAGACTGGCCCTGGCGAGCGGTGAGGGCTGGCGCTGGCACTGGCTGGGTGGCTCATGCTGGGGCCACTGGGTCAGGTGCAGCAACTGCTGGCTCTGGGCTGGCAGGCTTGGAGCTGGCACAGGCACTGTGGCCAGAGTCTATCCCTTTAAGGGCTCCAGGGCTGGGGGAGAGGAGAGGAAGTTTTCCTGGTTGTGCCCAGAAGTGGCCACCAGGGCTCCCTGGGAAGGGCTGGAGGCCCCCTATTTCGAATTAAATGTCTACACTGCACTTAATTCAAAATAGCTATTTTGAATTTGGCATTACTCTTCGTAGAATGAGGTTTACCAAATTTGAATTAAGCGCTCCGCTATTTCGAATTAATTTCGAAATAGAGGTTTGCATGTATAGACACTATTAAAGTTCATTCGAAATAATGGCTGTTATAATAATGCCACAGAGGGCCTCAGCAGAGAAATATTGTAAGAGAGCCATTTCCACCTATTTCAAGGCATTAATCCATGCACATGTGTTTGAGGGGATCATACTTGATGATACATAAACAAGGCATCTTGCATACTCAGCTTCTTGGACAGTTATGAATGACATGATCAGCCTTCCACCTCGAGCTATTATCATTGGCACAACATTGATCATCAGCTGCTGTGACAAGTCTGGCAAACTGTTATACTACGGTGCTAATACACTCTTCACTAGAGCTAATTCAAACTTGGAAATTCTGTTCCTTGGGAAATCCTACATTTCTGGAAATAAACTGTTC